AAAAAAAAAAACGCCCCCGTCCGGTCCGGTCCGGGTCCGTCCGGTACGGGGGGAGGGTGCTGCACGCGGCAAAGCGGACCGGACCGTACGCTCGTCCGGTGCGTCTGCTTGCAAGTATGCTATTTACTATTTAGAGTTCTTTTTATTTTAGATATTGTCATCTGTTATATCCTGTAAACCGTTAGGGTCTGCTTCTGGCCTGATGGTCTGTGGGTCTACCGTGATGGTGCCCGGACTTTGGTTATGCCGAGTTGACATGGTTAGCCAATTTTTCATTACCAGTCTGTTACCTTTCTATCCTGCCTATATTGATTTCTGTTTTTTTTTGTTTTTTTTCTCTTGGTTATTTTCGATCTGAGCCGGAGTCCTCTTCCATAGGGCATGAATTTCTGTTTCTATGAGCTGTTTGATGGTGATGAGTGGGTTTTTCAGAGTCAGTGGGGCTGTCTTCGAAGGTTTGCCCACACCTCCTTTTCCAGATAGCCCACAGGGTCGCCTTTCTTATTTGTGAAAAGAAGAATAAGTCAAAGCCTTTGAGAAGGGGGTTTTGTTCTATATCTAGAAATATGGTGCCTGGGTTTATTTGTGCTACTTTGCTAGAGTGTTTGTTCCAGGTTCTCTCAATCTCGTACCAGAGGATTTGGGATTTTCCGCATTCTAGGAAGCAATGCTTGAGTGTTTCGTTGGATTCAGAGTTGCAGACTTTACACCATGGCGCTTGTTCGGATCTGCAGCGGGCAAGATGGGTGTAGAGAATAGTTTATAGCCTAATTTGGCAGGGTAATCCGGTAATTTATGTCTTTGTGACATTGTTGTATTGGTGCTAGGGGTGCTCCATGACCATTTTCTGGGGTGGACTTCAAGGTGCTGGATATATGATTCAAGGTTGTAAAGTTGTAAACCCTTTTTTCTCTCCTTCTAAGACTCTAATTCTCGTGAGTTTGTTGATTTTAAACCACCACTAACCCCGACGTCAAAAACCTCAGGGGACCGGTAGCGCCGTTTCACGAGGGGTACTCCGGTAGCATAGAGTGGAAAATCGGGTGAATGGCAAAAATGGAATTTGCATAAAAAAATGGAAATGCGCCCATTCGGCGCAACGATTATTTCATGGTCAAATTTTTTTTTTTCCTGATATTTTTCCTGGAAAGATCACGACCTAATCTACGGACCGTCAAATTTTCAGAATTTTTGAAGAATTCTTCTGAGCACGAAAAATCGCACGAGGGGGCTGATAAGAGGGTAGGAGGTGGGGGGGCGACAGGGAGGATTGGAGCGGAAAGAGGATGTCTGAGTCGGGGGGTAGTAGGGGATAGTCAGTTGGGACTGTGGGGAAATGATTGGATTAGGAGGGAAGGCGAGCGACAGGCGGCCGTCCAGGTCTCTCACTGCTGCTGGTGGTTTCCCACCCTGAAATGTTTCCTTGCACGTCGAAGAAAGGTCAAATGTTTGTCTGCTAGCTTTTCCTGGCTTCGTGCGAGCCCTGTTGGTACTACTCCAGCGACCTAAAGTCGATCTCCAGCGTCTTCACCTGGAGTAGGGCATCGGCCAGATGCACGAGCTGTTGGGCTTGGAAAGTCCATATGTTGCTTGTGGAGCACGACAAAAGTTACCTTGATGAGAGTCCCAAGCACCGTTGGCAGTGCACGCACAAGTCCTGGGCATGCGCGTGGGGCTTCTAAGCCGGCCCATAGGTCTATGGTGTCGTTGGTGGGGCTACTCCTCGTCATGTTCCTCGGCGGCGCCTATCGCTGTCATGTTTGAATCAAACAAACGGCAAAGCGCGGGCGCGAAGGGCTGCAGGGGCGCACAGGAAAATTAGTCCTACCACTGCGCAAACCGGAGGCGCGGGCGCATTCCTCGTGTTCACCATTTGTCAGCATACATTCTATGGACAATCAATGCTTCAAAAGATGGAAACATGTCATGCCAAGGCTGATCTCCCGACAAAGAAAAGCAGGGTGACCGTCTCATGAAATTACACCCTTGTACTTATGCATCAAAAGATGGAAAGATGTCATGCAAAGGCTGATCTCCTGAGGAAGTAAAGGGTTTCAGTGTGGCTGCTGCAAGTGCAGTCTTGTAAAGCGAAGAAAGGCAGGGTGGTGGCGGTTGTGGGGGTGCAGGGAGAGGGCGGTGTGAGGGGGGGAAGAGATGGGGGGGTTGCATTGGGCCAAGCGCGGCAGTGATGGGGGTAAGTGGCAGGGGGGAACATGGAGAAGCACGAATTGCAACAACTTGGTGAGTTTCTAAATTGTTAGCCAACCAATTGGTCTGGTTTTCTGTGGGATAAACTTTGAGAAGCACTGACTGCCATGGCAGCTGCACACATGTCTGCGTCAGGGACCTGGCATTTCATCTCCGCTGCACAGACGTTTTCAGAAATTAAGTGTGTGCTAAATAACGAAAATTGCCAAGCCTGATTCGACTAGCCCCGGATGCCCGGAACGTCACAGGGTCAGGCCTAGCAGGGGCTGCCAGGGTCTTTGGCCTGGCAGGCTTAACGGATATACCTCAGACACCTTGTACATTCGTACCATCCCCAGTAGGGCTATGTGCCATTAGTGGGTTAAGTTGTGAAGCGCTCTCTCAATAAAATATCATCTTCATTATCCATTCATGCAATGCGGCAGTGATGGGTGGTCGAAATCTACTCACCTGCATGCCCGTGCATGACACATGGCGATTAGCTTTGCTTTATTCAAATTCAAATTCTTATTTGAAGTTATTTCTCTCTTCTTTTTCGCTCACTCCCTCCTAGAGCCTTGATTCTTCATGTTGTTGTTTTGGCATTGTCATCAAGGCCAATAATCTGGACTCTTCAATCCTGTTTTTGACGGCATGTTTTCAATGATGTCCATGTCAAGTGAAAGATTCTCCACGAATTTGGATCCCTCACCCCCTTTCCTTCCCAAATTACAGATCTTGTTGCCACTACCTAAGGGAAATTCTTTAATTTGGACTATCTCTGTCCATGTCCAGGGTAAGCTTTTCGCTTTCCCTCTCCCCCTTCTCCCTCCCCAGTCCCCTTCTTTTGCAGATGGTGCCGTAACCTACCAACGTTGCTTCTTGTGGATTTGGTTGAAAATTGGAATATACTTCTATGAGCTGAGAGTAGCAGTCAGCATCCCCCTGTTTTACCACCCCCTGGTAACAGTGGTAGGTTTCTACTTTTCAAGATTTCTTGAAGGCTTATTGTCTGTTTGCAAGGTTAAGTTTCTTGTCTTCTCAAGCAGCGTTTTCTCCTTTTTTGGTTAGGCATCCTGAAGAAAAAAAGAAAAACGTTGGCTGGTTGCAGGCAATGAGCTGTGGACTGGATTTGATGAACAAAGGGCAACTTCAGCAAGCACTCTGCTATTTCGATGATGTTATCAGCCAATGCGTATTCAAGGTAGGGCCTTGAAATCCTCCGCCAATGCCTGGGCGACTTCTTCTTCGTCTCCTTCTGCTTCCTCTTGTCGTTGTCGTTGTTGTCATCATTGTCCTCTTCCTCCCCCCCCTTCGTGACGCCGGTCCCATTTTGGGCCATACATCCTTTTTTTTTCTTTTCTTTTCTTACCTCAATCCCTCTTAGAGTCTTGATTCGTCATGTTATTGTTTTGGCATCGTCATCAAGGCCAATGATCTGGACTGTCCGTTCCTGTTCTTGGCGGCACATTTTCAATGATATCCGCGGCGAGTAAAATATTTTCCACGAAAGTGCATGTCTGATGTGTGTGTAGTACTGTGTACATCTGTGCGCATGTTGCCACATGACTGGAAACAATCTGAAGCATTAATGGTAAGGAAAGTGTCAGAAAATGAAGGTCGCTTTTAGGTGGATGCTTGTTTCCCAACGTGCATGTTGTGTGGGAAGTGTCCAATGAAGCTGTCCACAAAATATACAGCCGCGCTGCTGTTCCTGATAAAGGTCAGCATGAGTTAGACAGAAAAAAAAAGATGATACTGCATGTGTGTGTGTGTGTGTGTGTGTGTGTGTGTGTGTGTGTGTGTGTGTGTCAGTAGCGAGGGAGTGTGTATGATTCATGCGCGGGGTGAAGTGTTGGCAGTGCAAAGTTCAAGGATCATCAACATGAGGAAGGGCACAATATGCCTCTCCTCCAATATGCCTCCGATCAAGGAGTCACTGATCTCAACTCGGGGAGCTTTAACCCAACACAACAATGCTCTCTCTCTCTCTCTCTCTCTCTCTCTCTCTCTCTCTCTCTCTCTCTCTCTCTNTCTCTCTCTCTCTCTCTCTCTCTCTCTCTCTCTCTCTCTCTCTCTCTCTCTCTCTCTCTCTCTCTCTCTCTCTCTCTCTCTCTCTCTCTCAAAAGATGAAGAAGAAGAAGAAGAAGAAGAAGAAGAAGAAGAAGCGATGGAGAAGAAGAAGACGAAGAAGAATGGAAGTCTCCCATTTCTCTCTGTCTCTCTCTTAAGATAATACTGTGAAAGGCAAAGCCTTGAGCCACTGATGAACTGCAGGTACCACGGAGAAGAAAGCTGTCTATGGCTGGTGGCGAACCTCCAAGGAATGGCACCAGGTAAGTGGACTCCAGTAGACCTTTCCTCGTCCTACCTCTACTCAGAAATACTCTACTCTAATCTACTCTACCGCTGGGCTGCTCCACTTGCCGAAGCAACAGCCTGGTGGCATGCATGAATTAACCAACCTGAATCAGGCTCTACGTAAGTACTTCTGGGCTGAGGTGCTACTCCCTCGACCGCTCACTTGGGTCGTCCTTTCGCAGGGATCTGACAGTCCAGATGAGCGGCCGTGTGGTGAAACTACAGGTCCAGGCCCAAAATCTGTGCCCTGGTCCACACACTGCCTGGACCTAATGGCTGGCCTTTGTACTACTGGACGAACAATCTGACAAAAAACGAGAAATGGTATCTCTTAGAGGTCCGAACAGGACTAACCTGTGCCTGTTTGCTTAAAACGCTAAAACGACACAATCATGATGAGGACAATACAAACTGGCACAGGACAAAACCGAACTGGCACCAAAACAATATGAGGCAATCGACATAATAACAAAATAAAATAAGGTGAACTCAGAACAGAGTCAACAGAGAGAATATTGACACGCCTGCCTGAAAACTCGCTCACACATGGGCTCATGATGGCTAACGCCCTCTCTGCCAGTCACGGGCCTCGAAAAAGGCAACTGAGGGGCTTGCCCGAATGGATGTTGAGCCTCCCAGGCCCAGTGTGGGAGGCCCCAGCATGCCAGAGTGTGTGTGTGTGTGTGTGTGTGTGTGTGTGTGTGTGTGTGTGTGTGTGTGTTGTTGTATTCGCTATACACTGAAAAAAAGCATGACTGTGCCAGACTGTTTTGTCGGACTGTCACCGACTGATCAGGAGGTTGAACCCCGACAGTCTGCCCAGGATGCATTTGACTGATGGATAAGGACTCCGCACATCGCCCAGAGTTAGCAATACCCCTGAGAAAAGTGGTCGACACTACTCACACCAACCTTGCAATCCTAGCACACTGCCGCCGGTCCAAACCCCTGACAAGAACAGCAGTAAGTCTGAGAAACTAATCTGACACAGTCATAAAACCTACTCTACACACCCACTCAGCCATGGACACCCAAGTGTGTGTGTGTGTGTGTGTGTGTGTGTGTGTGTGTGTGTGTGTGCTCATACGCACACCAGGTCGCTTAGTCCACGATGGCTGAGCTCCGGCATAATGGCCGGCACAGTACGGAATCAGGGATGGTGAAGTTTGTCTACGATGGAACATGTTATGCGGTGCAGCCGAGGTGCTTGTGCGTGCGTCATAGCCGTGCAAATGGAGCAGCGTGAACGAAAAGTATGAGGAACATATAGGCTGGAGGGCATGGGGGAGGTGGGAGGGCAGACAATACATAAGCACACAGGACAGAGAAGGACGAAGACTGGAGGGCACGGGGGAGGTGGGAGGACAAACGCCATGCAAGCACACCAAGCAGGCAAACCAGAAAAAGTACAAGTCTCAAGAAAAACGAAAGACCACACAAGGGGGTCTGGACATCCTGGACCCGAAGCAGCAGCTGAAGGCCCTGCAAACTAAATGGGTGGCTAAACTTATTACCCACCCCACCCTGCCCTGGGTGCCGCTGGCATTGGAACATATCAGACATCTAGCCAAATACAAATCCCCACCTAACCTGTCAGGGCTGTTCTGGCTCGGATGCAAAAGCTGGGCCAAGAAGGGAAAAGGGGGAGGCGAGGGAAGAACAGAGGAGTCAGAAGTGAAGGGAATATCATACTGGGGACATCTCATCGAACTCTGGAGGGACATCTTCTCAGCAAGGGTGAGGGAATGAAGAACCAAGGAAGTGGTGCTCAGGCAGCCACTTTTTTTCAACCCTGGAATCAAGGATCTTCACGGCAAGCCACGTACCCTTACAGCAGCGGATTCCAAATGGGGTTAATGACTAGAACATGGCATCTGGTAGATCAAACATCTTTGGTCGGAAGAAAAGGGTCAGTGGAAGACGGCACAGGATCTCCGAGCTGACATGAAGGGGAGTCACAGACTACTAGAAAACCTAAACGACGTCCTCATTTCCATCCCAGTGGAATGGACAGACTCTTGAAGGAAGCCCAGCAGTGGGGTACAGGGGACTGGATCACATGGCAGTTTGATGAAGCACCAGCACAGGCCTTTAGGATAGGAGGCATGACAGGACCGAGACAGGAGTGGCTGTCTGCAGATATGTACAACATTGAGACCCCGGGGGCATACACAGGCAAGTTGGACAAGGCATCATGCACTCCCATCACAATAAGAAGAAACATGGCGTGCAAGGTAAGGGATCTAGAAACAATCTTCGCAGCCACAACAGCAATAGAAGACCTGGAGGTTGACCCAGCAGAATGGGCATGGAATCTCAAAGGGGGGGATGCTAAAACTGGACAGGAGGATCTGCATAATACACTACACAACAAAGATGAGATACAGGCGAAGAAGAAGATCCTACCCACTTGCGGAGCCGCTGGCCAAGCGATGGGAAATGGAAGAACCCAGAGTGCAAGTGGCTCATCTCCCATGGTCAGCGTTACAAATGTAATGAACCCAGTCTTGTTGAGAAGCCAATCAGCAACGCAACAGAAGTCTGAACCCAGCATGACTCGGTAAGTATCCAACAACAATTACAAGTCCATGTCACGATTATGTGCACAATTCCAAAGTATTGTCTCGTCAAAGAAGAGCATGAGAGAATAGCAAGGGGAGAGAAAGACAAAGAAGAGGAGGAGGAGAATCTCAATGATAATCAATAATCAGGTATGTCTCCCTCTCTCCCATTCCCACTTCGGGCTTCTCCCCTATCGCCACCTCAGCAATGTGCATTCCTTCGACGTCCTCTGACATAATCACTCTGCAGATCATCACAGCACGCCTGTCCTCCCTCCATGTCAGCAATCAGATATGGAGAATGGTGCAGTACTTTTCACCTTCGTGGAGACAACAGCAGATCACACGTGTCACCGCCAGGTAAGTCCAGGTAAGCGTCTCCTCATCTCCCGTCAGTCTAACAGCCCTGATCTTCCTCCTCCTCACCAATCCTCATCACGTAGTAGTCTTCACCTACACGGCTATGGCCGCACGAACATAATCTCCATCTGGGCTGGCGCCCACCAGCAGCATCTGGCGCCAGCACACAGCTCAAACAGCCTCACGATACAGCACTAGCATCAAGCCAGCGCACGGCCAAATGATCTCCACGGGGTCTGGTCAACTTTTTATAGGGTTGACTCACGTTGACCAGCCTCTAGTCTCCTTGTGTCGACGACCCAGATGAATCGAAACTTCGAAAGCCAATGGCTTGGATGCAGTGCAGTTCCCAATTTCCCTTGTGTCCCCATTTGGACTGGAATCTTCTGGATACCTGCAGATAACCAATGATGTGCATTGACAGCCGTGGCTGACCAGCGAGTCGACTTTGAGTTTGGGCCTGATTCTCCCGTGCTGGGTCTGACCGTTGACTTTCCAAAAGTCGATTGTCTCTCGTGGGGGTTCTGGACCCAGTTTTTGACTCAGGCCAGGGTATCCCATGACCCTAGGTCTTGTCTCAGACATTTTCCAGGCTTGGGACGTGCCTTTTTGACCCTGTTCCAGGCCGTTGGCCAAAAGTGACGACCATTAGCCGGCGGCAGTGCAGATTTGAACTGAGTGTATTGCATTCCATCCGGTTGGGGAAAGTCAGGAGTATGCAGTGGTTGATCTTCCACCTCGTGCTACCGGTCAACACATGGCTTTATGAAGGTGGCAGCCAGCATCTTAGAGACCCCGCCAACCAAGCATGCGCACAGTGCAGCGAGGAAGCATCGGAGACAGTGGCTCACTGCCTCATTGCCTGTCCAGAGGCGGCATACGTATGGGAGGAAGCTAGGTCCCTGTGGGCAGTGTGGGGTCAAATCTCCGATGCTCCGTTTTCGGAGGACAAGGAAAGAGTACTCCTAGGCATAGACTTCCTGGAGTCATGGCAACAATACCATAGGCAGGGATTCCAGTTGCTAAGACCGTATGCCCTTTGGACCATATGGAAGCGAAGATGCCAGCAAAGAATAGGGAAGCGACCAATGCGTAGGAAGGAGGCAAAGGAGTCATACCACAACCTGCTGGAAACGGACACCCAAGCGCAATGGCCAAGGACGCGAAAGCAAGCACGCCAAAACCCAGAGCAAGCCAGGGAACTGATACAGAAGTTTCAGCAGACAAGGCTAGCGCAGGGGAACATGTCAACAATAGAAGGACACACCCTGTCATTCCACTGGTTCTCTCAGTAGGACGAGATTGGAGCAATAGGGTTACATTAGGGTTCAGGGTTTAAGAATGTGAGAACAGAGGACGGGAAGTTAGAAAAGAAAGAAAAAGAAGGAAGGAGAGTGCACGGCTTAAGGCTTGGAAGAAGAGGGAAGCCTAGGGTTTCAACAGGGGAGGAGGGGGAACGCTGAGGGTTAAGGGTAATCAGGAGACGGGTCACTTCTTCTTGGGGGACGGTATTATAGTTTCCATCCGTTATTTCTGCTTGAGTCCTAAACTTCTAATTGTCCAGTTTTATTTTTGTGGCGAAGTTGCAGATAAGGGGAAGCTGGACCCGGCTTCGAGCACAAGCCAAAACTGGGTAATGACTCTAACGAGTCTAATGACCGCAGCACTCCTGTGAAACAGTTTTCACCTTTGGCAGTAGCCGATGCAGATCCCAGGGGTCGATCCCTTGACCTCAGCTTACCTGTGTACAGTATCTGTACAGTTCCCTGGAGTTGAACCCGTGACCTGCACGATAGCCAGTGGTAAGTAGGTCACCGTAGGTTGTAGGC